TTTTTTTTTCAGATTTCTGACTTTTTTCTAAGAATAATGCCTTTTTTTGCTCAGAATTAAGGAAAATAAAATTTTGCACCATAGCCCTAATTCTCTTCCGTAACTTTTTTTTTGCTTCAACCTTTATTTATCCAGGTTAATCCCATTGAGCCTCGGAGACTCTTTTAGAAGAGACCTGATTTCAGCAAAGAGTGATGACAACAGTGGACAACGAAATCATCAGTAGACAATCATAAAGGATGCGTACAAAATATATATATTTTTTTTTTATTTTATATGTACATTTTCATTTATATCTTTGTGTAAAGCTAAATATATATATATATTTAATATATTTTTTATTATAAATGTATATAATGAAAAAAAAAAAAAAAATATATATATATATATATATATATATTAGCTATAGGATTTCCTTGTTTTACTCTATCCTTTCAGAATAAACGAACACGCTTTAACAGTATTTTACTACTTCTGGCTCTAAGCCATCTTTTTTTGTTATTATTTGCAAACGTTTCACTAATTCTTGCTTTTAACCAGCATTTTCCTGCTTTTTGCTAACTTTTCACTACTGATGGCTCTTAGTTTGCTCTTTGTTGCTTTTTGCTATAGCTTTTAGCTCCATGTGGCTTTTAGCCAGTGTTGTATATAGTACCTCATAGTGATACTTCAGTGAAAGTACAAGTATCTTACCATAAAATTACTTTGGTAAAAGTTAAAGGTAGAATTTCCAAAACAACATTTATTGGGTACAATATCCAATGACAAAACTTGGAAAGTTTGAACTGAACAATGAAATATTGCTCTTTAAAAAGTCTGATTCTATTGAAGTATTCAACCTTTATTAACCTTTATCAAAGCTGTCAGAAAGCCCACATTGTTGTGTAGTTGGTTTATTTACTGATAGGTTCTGTTTGGTTATGGCTTGTTTCTTTCTGAATATAATAGTTCCTATGGTCTTAAATGCACCGTGGCTGTTCCAACGCTAGTGAACACACCGCTCTGTGTAAAGTGCACAGCTCAGTTGGAGGTTTTTTCCCTCTCCTGACACGGACGGAGCTTTGTTGTTCAAGCTTGTTTGTGCTTTATTGATTTACAGCTGTGTGTAAATACCAAAAGAAACACAGGAAATAAATCACCCTAAACTGGATATCAGTCTCTGTGTTCTTTAATGGGAAGACTAGTGGCCCGACAACTTCATACCTTGCTGCTCTAACCAGTTAATGTCCTGGAGAACACCAAACCTCTCCTTTTTAGCAGCTACCATCATTTTCACACCCATCAGGAATTTACAGTGGCTCCACTGCGAGTCAACAATTGATATCTGCATATGCATCTAACTTGTTCTCAGCAGGAGCAGCAGTTTTCACACAAGCGACGGGGATGGGTTTGTGATTGAGAGTGTCAGTGAGGGAGAGAGAAGGGGTTGTGTGAAGTCACAGACTGGAAGAACAAACTGGCATTGCCCGATCAGATTTATTCTAATTTTATATTGTAGGAGCGAGTAACTAAGATGGTTAAGGGAAATGTATTTAAGTGAAAGTACACGTTTTATTGAGGAAATGTAGTGGAGTAAAAGTGAAAATCGCTAGAAATGTAAATAATGAAGTAAAGTAAAGTCAAAATTCTACTTTGTTACATTACAACAGCTTTTTTGTGCTTTCTATTAGCATTTCTCTACTACTGGCTCTTAGCTATCTTTTCCCTGCTTCTTTCCAGCATCTAATCAGCATTTCAGCAAACCATTTAACTCTTTTGGCTACATAGCTCTTCAAATTAAACAAGCAGTTCATCCATGGACGATTTATAGTTTACTGTAATGTTTAGCTTCTTCAGAAGCTTTCAGCAAAATTGTGACTGCATTTTCGTAGCAAATGCACATTTTTCTAGTTACCTTGTGTATTTCATGTTTTCATGTGGACTTTGTTTCATACCATTGAATTTCAGGGGCTTTTAAGTTGTTTTGATAATTTTGAGCAGAGCTATTCAAATAGCTCAGGGAGGCACAGAACTGAAAGCTAAGTGCTCAGGAGCTGGACTTCCAGCAGTTATTGTCATTAAGTATGTGTCACGCTGTAAAAATCTAGTTTAATTTAAAAATAAACCCATTGGTGAGCCGAACTGAGCTCACCCATGGGCCTCATTTGGCCCGCGGGCCACCAGTTGAATAGCCCTGATTTAGAGTAAAAACAGTAACACTTTTGCAGAGGTTCAGAAATAAAGAATAACAGGCGCTACAGTAAAACAACATTTCAGATATTTCAAACGAAGCAACAAGATAAGACAAAAATGTGCAAAACACTAAAAACTGAACTATAAATGCACAAAATCAAGTGAAACAATTCAGATACAAGGGGACGTCTGACAATATGTATTTATTTATGTAATCATTCACCGCAGCTTTATATGAAATGACGCACAGTGGTATGAAGGTTGATGGAGATCATAAATGATGTTTTATTCGTTCCGCCCAGAACCAGCCAATCACAGAGCTCCCCTGCCGCTGCTCCGCCCCGCCCTCTACAGACGCAAAATGGCCGCCCGTCAATCGACCGACTGAGTCCACGGCGATTTGAAATTAAAATTCTTCTGCACATTTAGGCTTTATACTTGCAACGTTAGTTCTTAAATGCTTGTTAGGCTTGTGTTCTCATCATCTGACAGCTACTTGACTTTCCGCTCAGGCGTCGCTGTTCTTGTAGCCGCGAATGCCTCAAACAGTTAAAAAAAAAAAAATTGCACTGAAGCACTTTAGCTAAGCTAGTTCGCTAGCTAGCTAGCATATCTTCATATGTGATTCCTGAGGTGAGTAGCTGATTTTTGTGCACTTATTTGTATTCATGCGAATACACTGTGAATAAGATGCTTCTGCCGCTCTATAACTCGACCCTTACCTGCCTACTCGTGGCTAAAAATGTCAGCAGGTAACATTAACGTAGTTAGCTTTGGTGTAGCTTTGCACATTATGTACTTTGCTGACTTTAAGCACATTCTGCGTAAGAACGAAGTACTAAACGTAGGCTGTGGCAGTTTATTATGTTTACATCTTTAGTGTTATTAAATGTGCTTTAGTCACCCAATTGTACCATTTTATTTGGATTTATTTAACATCGACAGTATCTGAGCAGCTAGCGTTAACGCTAGTTAAACCTGTCAAGGCAAGGACTAGGATTAATCGCTCTTTTCGTTTAGGAGTATGTTCAAGTGACTTGAATCACAGATTATTTGCTTCTTGTCAATGCCTTCTTCTTTAGAGGTGCTAACTAACTACCGGTACATGTTGAGCTAAGTTTGAACAAGACCAGCAGGACCTACATCTGATGGAGTTTAGCTACAACAGCCTGGTTTGTCTTTAGGCTTCTCCAGGTCAGAAATGCTTCATCAGGGATGTCTGGTTGGCTTTCTGTCGGTCCAGAAAGGCTGTTTTTTGGGAGTACACCCACAGCTCAGAAACGAAACTAACCAAAAAACGCAGACACAGCCAGCACCTAGCTCTTCCTGCTGAGAGCCCAAAGCTCCTCTAACTTCATACCAGACGTGGTGTTTAAAATGTGCATACAAATTACCAAACAACTTCAGATTTGAGTTATTGTCCTTACTTTTGACGTAAAGATTTCATGTTAGAATTCACAACTTTTAAAATCCAACAAACCCAGAGTTGTATTACTTCATGTTTATATGTTGCAGATGTCATGTACCGTGCACATTATCAGTATTTTTTAATCAAAATTGAAAACCAATGGCGTTCCTGTTTGCACCGTCGGGGTTCTGTGGAATACTTATCAAAGATTATATTATCTTATCATCTTACAGAAGTTTCACCTCACGGCTGCTGTCACAATTTGCTCATGCAATAAAAAAAAACAACTTGAATTTAATGCATTCAACTGTGTATTACAGAACGGATTGCTGTGTTATAGTCTATAAAATAACATTTGCATAAATTACTAAGAAGTTCTTTTTAGGCAGGGGGTGATATAAGGTGGCAGCAAACGAGCCATTAGCATGTAGGTCCTGTTGAACTTAAACTTTGACTTTTTAAACTGAAGATGATTTATATTTAAACCACATGGCTTCACTTCAAAATGGCCAGAATGTCTCTTTAGGACATTCTGCTATATGTGCTGTTGTTGGTGTGCGTGTCATGAAGCGTTATCGTTTGTTGTAGTTACAGTTTCTGCAGCCAGCATAAAATATCTTCTTTTTGTTGATGCATATTCATTGTGCTTACAATTAATATATCCGAGCAGCATTTTGAATGTTATAGTCTAATGGTTGATTCGTGCAGGTGTCATTTAGGAGAAAATGCCTAGATGTGTTGTTAGAACAATTTTTTTGTCATTTTTGTAATCACTGTTTACTGTTCCTTTTTCATGTCAAAGACTACAGAAAGAAGCTGTTCTAGTTGTTTAATAAAGGTCTGGAAACATGTTAAGTTGTTTTGTTTTTAAGAAGAGAGTAGTATCGGGTCAGGAGCAGTAGTTCATGGAAGACAAGAAAAGGAAAAAAGACGACAAAAGGAAAAGAGAAGCCTCTCAGAAGGTGAGCTTGTTTATCTTTTGCTCATTAACCTAAAATGCACTCACATTAAATTACTTTTGTGAAGAGACCAGTAAAGCACAGTAAAGTGTTTCCTATAAAAACAAAAGCACATATCCTGACCAGCTGACAAGTTCTGACTCTGTTTTAGGCGTTAACCTCATAATGGAGGAACTTTTCTTGCCAAACCTTGTTTAATTGTTGTTCTTATTGCAGTAACATTAGTTTTAAGGGGGCACAATCCTCAAAATTTATTTTAACCTTTCTTTTTCTGTTGCCTAACTTAAATATTAATGTGTTGAGGAAGGTATATAATCAGATTTGCCTCAGATTATTGCTTTAAATAATTTAGAAATCTTTTGTCTTTTCATCTTAGGTTACAGAGCAAAAGAACAAAGGTAAGCAGAACATTTATGTGCATGATTTTAGATTACATTGGGCATTTACTAAATAATATATTTCTGTCGAACCCTTTAGTAATGCCCATATGTATTGTGGTTCAAATTACAATAGTATGCTTGTTAACAGTCAATGTTTGTTTTTAGTTCAATTTTTGACACATTTTTTGTAAAGATTAGATGCTGTATTTTTTTCCTGAAATAATTTATAAAGAAGAATTTGGTTAGACAGCCAATCCAACAGATGCTCAAGGGCCTTGTTAACCTCATCTGGTTTAGATGATACTGATGACAGAAAAGAAAGTGAGGAGGGAGAAAAAGAATGGTTTATCACAATTTACATTGTCACCACAGTATTAAAGAGCAAGATTGCACATAGCAAGTTTTATCAATATTGTGTAGCGCTGATTCAAATAAACAAGGCAAGTTCCACAGTCAGCTGAGCACCGAACAGAATATCAAGTTTACTGATGGTTCTGTAAGCTCGCATGCATTCAGTCACCTAATCTGTGTAGTCAGACATCTTTTTCTTTAGATTCACTCAAGTTGCAAATGTTAGACATTTGTTTGTATATATTTTGATCAACTTTACAGTACTACCTTAAATATGTCATTTAAAAGAAGTAAAGGAGAATAAAATGATTTTGAAGATGCTTTGAGCCTTTAAATTTCCCATGGCTCACCTTTTCCCCTACACAACCCAGGTGAGATTGAAGTGGCAGTTTTGCTACTCATATAAAGTCACGCCAGGTAATGAAGCTGCTCTTCAGTATGACTGAGAGCAGCTTAAGGGTTAGACTTTTAAATAAATGTGGAGTGAGAAATCAGATCTATACAGAGTACATTTGATTTGGTCTTCGCAGTCTGTGGTTCAGTCACCCAGGGTTCTTGTTGGAGCCAAGTCTCAGTGGAGCTTTAGATGAACAAAAACTGTCATTTTAAGTTATTCTTAGTGAAATTATGTTTACTGTAATCTTTACAAAAATTCCCCTTTTTGCATTGCTCTTCTTCCAGTGCCAGACTTGACAAAGCCAACTTCTGCTCAGTCTCCTGCCTCTCAGAGCAGCTCTGCCTCCCCCAGCCGTGGACCCACCCCTACTGCCTCTCCATCTCCAGCGACCTCAGGCCCTGGCAGTGCTGCCACCCCGTCTCAGGGCGGCAACAATGCTAAGCGCCTGGCAGCGGCCAACGGACAGCCCACCTCCACCACCAGTTCTTTCTCTACTGGCGGACCTAGTGCTGCTGGGAACGGCGGTACAAGCAGTGGAGGCGGAACTCAGGCGCCTCAGCAGCCGTCCCGCTACATGCCGAGAGAGGTGCCACCACGATTTCGCTGCCAGCAGGACCATAAAGTGCTACTAAAGAGAGGTCAGCCCCCACTGTCCTCCATGCTGCTGGTAGGAGGAGGAGGAGGGGATGGCTCGAGCTTAAACGTGGCTGCTGTTTCAGGTGAACATCTGTATGGCATGTAACATAAGTAGTAGTTTGGTGGCAAACATTTTAAGGTGAAAATTACAAAGTGCTGATTTTGTTCCTCTTGTACAGATCATTTAAATAAATGATCTCTGATTTGGTATTTACAAATGGTGATCCTGTTTCACTTCATGTCTTTTGTACCTTTTTTGACATGTAATTTCTACTGTATACTTTTTCTGTTTTAATCAATCAAATGTAAAAACATTCAGCTCATTCAGGAGCTTGGTTTTATTTTTGAATTTTCTAACTTTTCTTACACGTTATTCAACTTTATACTTCAAATTTTTCCCCCAAACCAAAAACCCCCCCAAAATCAAGCATTCTTTGAAATCTATTTCACCAGACTTGTTCTGTTTTTGTCTTCTCGTGCTACTTTGAGCTTTTAGTTACATTTTATTGCTTTTAACTAGTGTTTTCTATTTTTGATTTTTAGTTTGCTTCATTTAGACAGTTTACATTTAGACATTACTACTTGTAGGCAAGGTTCTGCTTTTAGCTTTAAGCAAGCAGTTTGATACTTGCACATTTTAGCTATCATTTTGCCACTTTTGGTTAGTGTTTTGCTACTTTTAGCTTTAAGCTATTGTGTTGTATTTGCAACTTTTAACAACTCTTGTTTTATCTTTAGCAAATTTCTTTAACGTCATTTAGCACTCATAGAATTATCACAGAAAATGCAACATTTTTGGTTTATTCATTCTTGTCTCCTTTGTTTTATAGATTCCGGTATGGCTGCATCTTCAGTGGGTCTCACCTCATCAGCTGCTGCTTCTACAACTAATCCTAATTATGCAAATTCCATGTGGGGGCAAGGCTCGGGCAGCCAGGCCACCTCTCAAGGCAGGGAGAAGGTCATTGTTGATGGCAATGATCTAGAGGAGTGGCCGAGTATACCTGGCAGTGATGGAGGGAACAGCGGCAACAACGGAATGCCTGTGAATAGCATCAGTGCCTCTGGCAACCGGTCTTCACCCACTTCATCTTTCTCTTTGCCCAATGAATGTATGCAGACGTCCAACAGTGTGGCGTGGGGAACGACTGCCTCCCAGGGTCATCTTGGAGGAAGTACTGCAGTAGCTACTGCTGGGTCTCTGCTTCAACAGCCTTCCTCATTTTCCAAAGCCTCCACTGTGCCAGGGATTCATGATGCCAGTGGCCCTATTGATAGTAGCAGTGGGATTCCAGGTGCCAACTTCAGTCCAAATGCCAACCCTTCAGCCTGGCCTGCCCTGGTGCAGCAGGATGACCATAATGCTGCAGGGGAAGAAGGTCTGACTTCCTTTAATCACCAGGCCTCTGGAGGGTCTGCCATCAGTTCTGCTTCCTTGGGGCTGGGAGGCGAGGCTGCCGGGGTGCTTGGCAACCACCCATCTATATCTGTGAATCAGTCAAACGCCCATCAGCACCAACTTCACCAAATGCAATCCAGAGACGTGGGAGGAGGGAAATGGGACAATGAATCAGCGGGACCAAAAAATGCAGGGGGGGGAGTGATTGGGGGAGGAATGGACCATGGTGTGGGAAGAAGTGGGATAAGTGCAGGAGACTCTAACCTTGCCACCTCATGGAGAGGCCAGCCTTCTGTCCCTGCTGCTTACTCCAAAACAGGTTCGTCAAGGATGGATGGATGGGAAGGGGGAGGAAGTGGGGGTTTGGCAACTCCAGAGCGGGACAAAGAGACTTCAGGTTGGGGATATCAAAGTTCCACAAGTGGAGTTAATGCTTGGGGTGGTGCTGAAAAGGGGGGAAATGATAGTCACGTCTCTGGGGCATCTCAGGGAGGGTGGGGGTTATCAGGAGCTGGAGGTGATAAAGCAGTTTGTGGACGTGACTGGAGTGAGAGCTCTGCTGGGACTGGTGCAAATTCAGGAGGTGACGAAATGGGGACCTGCAGTAGTAATAGCAGCAGCAGTGGAGGAAGTACAGCAGGCATCCCCCCTGCCACTTCCTCCTCCTCTTCAACAGCCACCACAACAACCAGAGCCTGGGACAATCAGAAGGGAGAAGGCGAAACAAGAGAATGGGACGATGGATTAGTGGGACAGGGAGCACATGGAGGGTCTTCATCTAGTGGTGGAAATTCCAGGAGTGAGAGTGGGTTTAATAATAATAACAACCGTCTTCGCCGACCGGCACCTACAGCTGAAGCTGCCTTACAGAGTCTACTTAATCGGTCTGATCTAGACCCTCGAGTCCTGTCCAACTCAGGCTGGGGCCAAACACAAATCCGACAAAACACCGCCTGGGATGTTGATGACCTTGCAGGACACAACAAAGTTGGACAGTCATCAGCGCCATCAAAACACTCAACTTCTCTTAATAGGCCTACTCAGTATTTTAGTGGCCCCAGAACCATAAGCACTGATCCTACGGGTCCAGCGGTCAGTCCCTCCCTGCTTACTTCTACTGGGTCTTCTGGAGAGGGCTGGGAGAACAGTAGCAGCAACAGCAGCAGTAGTGGGGCCTCTTTGTCTGGGAGAGGGCCACCGCCTACATGCACCAACATGAATCCTGGTGTCTCACAATCTGGACCAGTGACCACAACTGCTCCTTGTATGGGGTCAGGGATAATACCTGGGCCTAGCCAGCAGGTAAATGCCACAGGCTGGGTTGGAGGCAGGGATGACCTTGAGGCCAAGAGTTGGGGGAACGAGGAATGGAAAGGCAATAATAGGGGAGAAAAGGGAGGTGGATGGTGTGATACTGGGAAACAAAGTGACTCAGTTCATGGAGGCTGGGGAGAAAATCAGCAGGAAAAAGGGGCAGGAGGTTGGAAGGAAATGGGAGGGAATGGTGAAGGAAGTGGGTGGGGAGCAGAACAGAAAGTTGGCACGGGTAAAAACTGGTTAGAGCAAGAGTCCAAATCGAGTAGCAAGGGTGGGGCTTGGGACGACAACAGAAGAAATGGACGACACTCAGGTGGGGATTCAGGTGTAGGTGTTTGGGGGAGCTGGGATGACAATGCACCTCGGAGAAACTGGGGAACGGGGGGTACTGGTGGAGGAGGAGTTGATAGGGTTGGAGGCACAGGGTCCAAACCTCATCAGAGTTGGAGTGGAGGAAGCAAAATGCACCAGATGCCAAACAGCCAGTCGGTCTCCATTTCAGGGCCACAGGCACAACTGCAACAGCAACAATCACAGCCCCGCAATCAGCATCCACAGCTGCAGCAATCGTTGGACCAAGGGGCAATGCAAGGGGCCGCTGGGAGGAAGCTCATCTCTCAGGCCCAGACACAGAACCAAAGCTCAGGCTGGACCTCGGGACCTATACCCGGTGCTTCCGGAGGAGGTGGCAGTGGATCTGAACCAAGCGGCTGGGAGGAACCCTCACCGCAGTCTATAAGCAGAAAGACTGAGATAGATGATGGAACATCAGCATGGGGAGACCCAACTCATTACAATTACAAACCAGTCAACCTGTGGGAAAAAAGCAGTGGACCTACTGGCCAGCAGTCACATAGTCAAGGTCAGCCCCAGCAGCCCCAGCAGCAGCAGCAACAAAGGCCTCCTGTGCAGCAGCAACCCAGCAGGCAGGCTGCAGGACTTGGTGGTAACAGAGACTTCAACACTGCTCCAGCATCTACAAAACCTTCTGGTATGGGTAAGAAGTTACATTTGTGAATTTGTTTATATTTTGATTTTTGCAAAGAAGAAAAATGTTTAGTTTTTTTTAATAAAAAAAATATAAAAATGTCTGAAATGTGAAACTGTAGAAGTCACAAAAAGCAGAGACTTAATACATCACAAGTTTTATATGAAGTAGTTTGAGTGACCATGATTTGCTTCCTCTGTTGTTGTGGCCCAGATGCACTAATTCTGAATCAAATGTTTGAAAGACCATTTCATGCCAAGGCTCAGTTTGTCCATGTCTGTGTGCAGATCCATCAGGCTGGGGAAGCACTTCCCCAACAAGTCCGACAGTAGACAATGGCACAGGCACCTGGGGCAAACCAAGTGAAGCTCCCACTGGCTGGGGAGACATCGATGATGGTGGAGGGAAGACGACATGCTGGGGAAATCCTCTGCTAAACTCAGCCAGATCTGGTCAGAAAGTGAACTGAAAAATACGACTAAATATTTAAAAAAAAATGGCAAAAAATTAGTTTGAAGGAAATGACTTTAAAATAGAATTTTATCTTTCTAATAATTAAAACACTTACAATAGTGCAGTGTTTCCTCTACCATTATACAAGCGGGGTGCCCCACCCCGTCAACAGAACTGAGCACCCCGCCTACCAAACCGGACGCCCCACCACCACCACCACCTGGCACTGACATGGCACTAAGATAGCAACGCGAAATACAGGCTCTCTAGCTAAAGGCAGCGCTCGCGTTGCCTCTTCTCTCAAGCTGAAACCCCCCCCCCCACACACACACACACACACACACACACACATACTCTCAGAAACTGTCTGTATAAACAGCGCACAACTCAAACGTGTCACGCTAAGTTAGGCGCTCTAGCTAAAAAGCTAAAGGCGCCTCTTCCTTCATGCTGAACACCTCGCGCCCCATCAAAAACTGTTGGTACAAGCTGTGCTCAAACATGTCTCCGTCCCCCCCGTCAACATAAATCATGGATGAGATGAGCACCCCACCATGGCAAGTTAACTAGAGGAAACACTGTAGTGTGAACGTTTATGAAGCATTCACTCTATGGTGATCCATTTTTCTTCCGTATGATTTTTGGCACGATTCTCGTCCCATACTATTTCAAAAATTCATAAATCAAAACATTCAGCTGTTTCAGGACAATCCTGCTATGACTTTTGGTATTGGTGCAACTTTAGCTTTTTGAAATATTTAGCCTTTTCTGCCAGTTTTTTTCTTCAAAAAATGAATTGAGCTCATTTTACAGCCTTCATATCTTTAGATGTGTTTACAACCTTTTGCTCACCTTTCACATTTTGTTCTGCTTCAGCTTCTTTTAGCTTCTTTGTGCAACTTTAAACTTTTTTCAGCTATTTTGAACTGCTTGTTTTAGCTGTGTTGTGCTCCTTTCAGATTCTTTCTGCTAACTACAACATTTCTGTGTTTCTTCTAACTCATTTCCGCTAAATTCAGCTTGTTATGCTCCTTTCAGCTTATTTCTGCAAGTTTAAGCTATTTCTGCTATTTTAGCTACTATATAGCAGTTTTATGCTAATTTAAGCTTTTTCAGCTAATTCCACATTTTTTCACTCATTTAAACTTTTTTCAGCCTAATTCATTAAAAATGTGAGCTCTCCACTTCCTTATGATAATTTCAGCTTCTTTCTGATTTTAAGCTTTCTTCAGCTGTTTTTTTTTTGGTTTGTTTTTGGGTTGTTGTTGTTTTTTTCAAATTTTGGCATTTTTCAGATTATTTCCACTTTTTTGTGCTAATTTCTGCTCCTTTCAGCCTAATTAGGCAAATGTGTTTTTTCTGCTTTCTTCTGCTAATTTAAACTTGTTTTACCTTTTCAGCTACATTTTTAGCATTTTTTTTAACTAATTTCAGCTGTTTTCAAAACAATTCAAGGTTTTCTTGGTAATTTCTGCTACTTTCAGCCTAACTGACTTGTTTCTGCTGACTTCAACTTGTTATGCTCCAGCTTTTTTCTACTAGTTTCAGCTTTTTCTGCTATTTCAGCTACTATTTAGCTATTCCTTTTTTGTTAAATTTATCTTTTTCAGCTAACGCCATATTTTTTCACTCATTTGAGCTCCTTTCAATTCCTTCTGGTATTTTAAGCTTCTTTCTGCCATTTCAGCTACTTTTCAGCTATTTTTTTTGCTAAATTCAGCTTATTTTAGCTACCGGTAATTTCCTAATTTTTGTGGTCATTTATGCTTATTTCAACCTAATTCTGCAAAAATATGTTCTTTCTGCTTTCTTCTGATAACTTAGGCTTGTTCTTCAATTTCAGCTACATTTCAGCATGTTTTTAGCTAATTTCAGCTGTTTTTCAGCAAGTTCTTCAGCCACAAGCATTCACACTGTATTTTTGCAGGAAATGCATTTTCTCTAGTTTTTGTTTGATTTTTAGTATTATGTCTGTGACATCTGCCTGCAGGGTCAAAGTCTATGCAAGATGGCTGGGGGGAGAAGGAGAAGTTGGTGGCAGCCTCACGTCACTCGAGCTGGGAGGATGAAGACGATGGAGGAGGGATGTGGAACAGCACCAGCTCCCAGGGAAGCAGCTCATCTTGGGGACAGGGAAGCAATGGAGGCTGGGGCCAAAACCAAACTGTAAAGAAGGCCAGCAACAAGGTGTGTTACTAGTAGATACAATCCTTTTAGAAAAGAGCAACAAACACAACGAAAGACCTTCAAGACCTGTATCCTCTCTCAGGGTCCTCTGAAGACCAGTGGAGGAGAATCATGGCTGAGCCCCACCAACAGACAGTTCTCTGACATGAGGATTCTGGTACGACTGGACGTTCTTTTGTATTTTTACTTATTTCTGGAGTTTCCGCACAGGCCAGAGTAGCTCCTTTATCAAGTGCTGATTATGGCCTTTTCTATCCAACAGAACGATGAGCCCAGTAGCCAAAACATTGACATGGGTCCAGGTTCTCTTCAGGACAAGAAGATGGAAGCAGAAAAAAGAAGCATGGGAATGAATGATTACAATGGTGACATTAGGAAAGCAGGACGAGGAGGCGGAAGTGGAGGGGGAGTGATTTATCGCCCTCCTGGATCCAAAGAAGCGTCACCAGGGGATGCAGGATCTTACTATAACAGGGTAATGCCTCATTTTAGGCTTACTATTCTTTTGTCTTTATGTTGTGCTTTATCACTGTATGTTTTCTCTTGTGGTTCTACCCTTTCTTTCCATTTGTCCATCTTGCTACCCTTTTTCTACATCATCCCTTACGTCTTTCACCACTATTCAATTTGGTCTTCTGATGGCCGTCACCATGACAGGCCTTGCATTTGATCAATCAGGATGGCTGCCTTGAGGAAGCGGGTTCTTGCTCTCTGTACTCACCACCCACTATCTACAAGCCCCATACCCTCTTCAACCACTCTGTCCCCTTTAGACAAGTAAGATAACCACTCCTGTTCCTGTCCTGCTGTTTTTCCTCTAGAGTCTTCTCTTTACAAGATATTCATATTTACTTCATAATCTCCTTCATCACTGATTCTTGTTAGTCTTGTTGTTCTGTATGTGTCTTTAAAGTAATGTGCCCTGTTAACACGTTTGTTTTTATGTCTTTGGATGCAGGGTGCTCATAGTATGTTTGGCAGCACAGGAGGAATGACCCACACAAGACATCAACAAAGTGTCCCACCGATGAATCAGTCCCCAGGGATGCGAGCACAAGTGCCTCAACAGTTCCTGCCTCCTCAGGTAGTCGCACATCTACACACAAGGATCTGTTGAGGATCTGAACCAGGGGTGCCCACACCTTTTCAGCATGCGAGCTACTTTTAAAATGACCAAGTCCAAGTGATCTACCTACTATAAAAATACAAAACATATACTTATTTATAAGCATATTAAGTATGCTTTTTATGTTTTACGTCCTTGTTTTTAGTATTTTACCATGTTTTATACAGCAACTTGATTTATTGTTTTATAACACTACTTTTATTTTAATTGCATTTTACTGTACTTTATATGTTGTTTGTCTAAAACAGGTCTCTCTTGTAAATGAGTCCTCGTGACTCAGTGAGACTAACCTGGATAAATAAAGGCTGAATGAATGAACAAGTCCCAGCTCGCTGTGGACGCAACATAAATGACAAAACCCAAAAGTTTGTTTAAAAAAAAAAAAGTGACAATTTATTTTTACCGTCCGTGTACAAAACAATAAACAAAACCCAGCAATAACTTCTGTTCTTCACACAAAGGAACAGAAAACACCAAGAATAACTTCATGTTTGTAAAATAACCTGAGAACAAAAGTGAAAGTTCAGCCCTGACAGCAGCTGCTTTTAACTGTAACTGTTCATTGATACCTGAGAGCTTTGATGGAAGGTTATATTTCTGGTTTGTGTTTAAAG